AGGGATTTGAGGTGGGTGAGGTTGCCTTTAGTTGCTGCAGCATATAGCAAGCCTTAGGGATCTTTCGGCTTACCTGTAGCATTGTCCCCAACCTACATTTCTGTCTGTCACCCAGTAAACATCTCCAGTCAACTCCCTATAATTGCTTGTTAATTACCTGCACTCCTGCCTGAACCCCCATCTCCACAAAAAATGATCTGGTGGGCCTAAAAGTAGAGACCTGAATTTTTAATTCCAAAACATTCCCATTGATGCATTGTTTCTCTTCATTGTTGTAGCAAGTATTGTTTACGCATTGGAGGTTTGTTTTAAGTCTTTAGACGTTAGCCATCTGGAAAATCTACTGATCTATCGGCTGAAACACATTCTCACTTTTGGCAGTAAAATACTTCAGAGTTGGAAATACCACTATTCACTTTACTTTCCATCCACTGTACAAGTGCGAGTAACCTTTTTCTGCAAAGTCAGCTCTGAGTACAGTATCTTGGAGAAAATGCTTGTCAGTTTCATAAATTTATGAATGATCTCAAGCCTGAGTCAGTTTCTACTAATGACTCTTTAGATGAGAGAAGTGATAAAGTGATTGCTAGCAATCTCTAAATCGAGAAATTCATTAGCTTTTTACAACTACTTGATAGTGTGTCACTGTCTGGTTTTTAAGAGCACGTGTAAACTCCATTTTAGTCCAAATGTCATAATATATGCTATTCTTTACCTTTTTCCAGAAATAAACTACATTAAAATGGTCTAGTATTTTACAAGCAAATTATTTATAGATGTCGTACTGTTGTAAAGGATAATGTTTTTGTCTATCAAGAATTGAAACAGATAAATGTGTAACATTGAATACATGAATCCGTGAATCCATTTTAGAAACTTATAACTGCTATCCAAATTGTGCTCTATTTGTATTACAGAGCCACTTTCCATAGAACGGATAATAAATTCTGTCTGTTTAATGCTATGGAATCTTTTAAACTTGCATTATGTTAGATAACACAGCTCCAACAATAAATGCTAGTCACATTGTGTGACAGTTCCTTAAATTTCTACCAAAACCTTTAGCTCATTAATATAATTTCACAGTTGTCATGCAAAATTGTAACTCACCTAAATTTATACCAGATCTAGGTGCACCAAGACCTAAAGTCACATCTCTGATGTTTTGTGGTCATCTTTATTTTTAGTTATCACTGTAGATCTGCAAAATATTTTCTGTATAGTTAAGTGAAACAGATGATTTGCATTAAAAATGTCCATAATTGCATTTTCTTAAACATGTGCATGAGAGATGGTTTGGTGGCTTCAAACTTGAATATTTATGTTTGAAGCAGTTAAGAAAGAGAATATAGCATAAGTTTGCTGCCGTCCTAACCATTTGCACTAATTTTCACTGATGTGTGATTAATAGCCGATTCCACCATTTGCACAGATTACATCCAGATGTTCCTCACCATCCCCTCTTTCAAATCTTCTGCTATATCAGTATTTGTCACACAGCTTGTCTGATAGACAATATCAGATGAATAGAGGGATTTCTCTTATTTGAATATTGAGAAGACCAGAGCCATTGTCTTCTGTACCTATTACAAACTCTGATCAATGCTCACCAACTCCATCTCCTTCCCTGACAACTTTCTGACCCCCACGTTCGACTATTCGCTGCCTTGGTGCCCTAATCCAAACCCATATCACCTTCATCGTCAAGACTACCTATATCCAATTCTGTAATTTTGCCAGTCTTCACTGCTGTTTAACTCCATAATTGCTGGTACCTTTTTCCATGCTCTTGTTACTTCTAGACTTCACTGTTTTGCAGTACTATCTTGGCTTGCCTTCTACTTTTTATTCCATGTAAATATCAACTCATCCAAAACTCCACGCCAATTTCCTAACTTGCATCAAGTCCATTCACCCATCACCGCAAATCACTGACCTAGCTTGGCTTCAGCTGGCTATTCCTCAGATTTAAAATTTTAATCCTTGTATTCAAATTCTCCACACCTCTATAACATCCTCCACTGGGCTGAGAAATTTCTGTCAGAGTCCATGCACAAACTTGAACAGCATTGTCTTGCACAGAACTTGAGAGATGAAATGTCAAATATTAACACTCTTTCTGGTGGAAACACTGACAAACTCTGACAGAGGCTTAAATTCCTGCCGCTAATGCAATAAAGGTTTTGGAGCCAGAAAGTTAGTTGTGGTCAGAGATCTCCGTATGGTGAGTGAAAGTCCTAATTTCAGTTAGTCGTGTCTTGGAGGTATTTCACAATTGTGAGGGTAGAAAAATATAAACTTGATCAATTTTGTTAAGTGCACTGCAAGGTTAAGACTAGGGGCTATGAAAATGATTATCCAAGTTATATCCTTGAGCCAGTAGAAGTTTAATTGGGAGCACTATGTAATAACCTACAGCAAATTGCATTTACGTAGCACCTTTTAACAGAATAAAATGTACTAAGGCACCTGACGAGCAAAACAAAACTCCTATCGATCAACCTAAGGAAATATTGAGCAGTCTACTAAGAGAACGAAGTTTGAGGAGAGATTGAGTCATGGCATGGAAAGCAACCTAGATAGTAATACCAGTTCTGTCATGGAGTTGCTGACGCATTTAGAGATCCCTGCAGATTATTTTGCTGCCAGTCCAATGCATTTAGTGACCAGAGTTAAACCAATAATCGATGACAAAAGTCAATACCTTGACTTTAAATGGAGTTTTAAATTGATTTACTTTTTGCAGGAGATCCTAGATTATGATGGTCAGTGGTTGAAGAAAAGAGAATCTGTTTAAGTACTGATAAATTTAATTAAATAAATTCCTCTAACTGAGCTCAACGCAGTTTTATTCAAAATAAAAATCACTTTTTATTTTCCTGTGATTATTTTCTTTTGTGTAGCAATGTAAGGCTATCAGCGAAGAGAAATAGAGTTAACATCTCAGGTGCGATGACCCTTCCTCGGAACTGGGTCACCGGACCCGAAACATTAACTCTGACTTATATTCACAGATGCTGCCAGATCTGCTGAACTTTTACAGCATTTTCTGTGTTTGTTTCTGATTTACAGCATTCATGGTTCGTCTAGTTTTTATAAGGCTATCAGTGATTATTCAGTAAAAATATGGAGTGTCCTGTGTAATTTTTTTTTTTAAAACTGATTTAACTAATGTGGCCTAAACCAACGATCAAATGATACAGAGCAATGTCCTCCAGATCATGATACAATCATTCTAATTTGCGGAATAAAATACCAGTAATTAATAAAAGGAATAATAAAAGTAATATGTAAGTTTTCTTGAGTGTCCTTAAGGATTTTAATCAACAGCATTCACTTGGCTGCATTTTGATGGAACGAGTTTTCTTCTGAAATGATGACTAAAGCACCTTGAGCAGCCAGAGCAAGCTTCCGCCAGTATCTGACCCCTGTATCTGATTCATTGACTTTCTGACTTATGCCAAACAAAAATTAAAATAATCTACTCCTCACTAATGAAATCTTCACCTTTTGAAACAACAAATTAATTCGTTTCCCTTGCACATGAAAACATAATGTAGTCAGAATTAAATACAGAAAGCACAAAACATTGGCAGTTATAAAAGTGGTCTTTATACCAACGCAGTTAATAGGTTGTTCAAAGCAAATTTTATTTTTAATTGATATAATATTTATTACAAACTGGAGAACGAGATCATTCCACCAAGAAATTAGGACCTATTGTCCAGAAGTCTGATATTTCTAGTTAAGATAAAATTAACCATCTTTATTAAATTTTGCAAAAGTGTTTCGTTTTTTTTATTCACTCATGGTGTGTGGTGTATCACTGTCTAGGCCAGCACTTATTGCTCATTCCTAACTGCCCTTGAGAAAGTTCCTTGAAGAACTGCTGCAGTCGGTGTGGTGTAGGTGTTCCCACAGTGCTACTAGGGTGGGAGTTCCAAAATTTTGACCCAGCGACAGTGAAGGATGGTATTTGACTTGCAGTAATGGTATTCCAAAGCCTCTGCTGTCCTTATCCTTCTAGATGGTAGAGATCATGGATATGAAAAGTGTTAAGGATCCTTTGGTGGGTTATTTTATGTCTTTAGATTATTTTTCATACTTAACCATGTACATTCAAAAGCATTAATGTACCGCTTTTAAGATATAATGGCATTGATTTCCAGGCCATGAAACTAACAAATCTTTCGGCGAAATAAGTTAGTACCTGTTGCCTGTGGGACGACTTAAATGCCATTCTGAGAAGTACATGCTTCATGTGACTTCCTTGCTTGGCGCTGAATGCAAGGAATTCTCATTAAGTTTAAGTTTCTTATGTTCTCTTCTGGCAGTACTGATTTGATTTTAATTTTTCCTTCATAGTCATCCTAGGGACACCTACAAACAAAAATCCAAAAAATGTTTCCCCTGTTGTTTTTCTTGAAGGCCACTTTCATCTGCAGTAATATGCCCCACAAATGGGGAAATTGAACAGCTTGACAACATTGAACTTCATTTCCAAAATGTATATTAGGAACGTGATTTATTGTGCTTACATGAACAAGTCGTTTTTTTTACATTGTACTACTTTCCTTCCCTTGCCCATTTCTCTAACAGCCCCTATTAGTGCGTAAAACCAAGCTTTATTATTGGGTAGGCAATGGCCTGGTGGTATTATCACTAGACTATTAATCCAGAGACCCAAATAATGTTCTGGGGACTTGGGTTCAAATCCCACCATTGCAGCTGGTGGAATTTGAATTCAATATTAATCTGGAATTAAGGGTCCAATGATGACTGTGAAACCATTGCTAATCGTCAAGAAAAACCCATCTGGTTCATTAATGCCCTTTAGGGAAGGAAATCTGCTATCCTTAAGTGGTCTGGCCTACATGTGATTCCAGACTGACAGCAATGTGGTTGACCGTTTACTGCCCTCTGGGACATTTAGAGATGGGCAATAAATGCTGGTCCAGCCAGAGATGCCCACATCCCATGAATGAATATAGAAGAAAATATGTATTTCAAATGTGAATATTTATTTCTAGGAAAGCAATTGAAGTCTTTTGGGCTGGTTTGCATATTTTCCATGTTCCAAACACAAGATTGTTTTCAAAAGCTGTTGATCTGTATGACGTCCACCTTTAGTAAATGTGTAATTATGAACTCTGCAGACAAAACAAAAGAATGCAACAGATGACAGTTTATACATTGAGACAACACTGAATGGAGCTGGAGGAACACAGCAGGCCAGGTAGCATCAGAGGAGCAGGAAAGTTGACATTTCAGGTTAGAACCCTTCTTCAGAAATGGGGAGGGGGCAGGGAGTTGGGAAATAAAGAGAGAGGAGGGGGGGGGCGGGGGCTGGGGCTGGGGAAGGTAAGTGGGATGGTGATAAGTGAGTGCAGGTAGGGAGTGGTGGGGATTGGTCAGTGGGATGGGTGGGGCATAGAGGTGGGAGAGAAGATGGACAGGTTGTGTCAGGTCAAGGAGGCAGGGATGAGAGGGAGGTTGGACATGGGAGGAGGCTGTGTGTGGGGAAGATTTTAGAACTGGTGAATTCCATGTTTAGGCCATCGGGCTGGAGGCTCCCGAGGTGCTGCTCCTCCAGTTTGCGGTTGGTGTCATTGTGACACTGGAGGAGGCCCGGGATGCTCATGTCACCCAGGGAGTGTGAGGGGAAGTTAAAATGTTTGGCAACCGGAAGGTGGTGTCATTTGTCACGTACAGAGCACAGATGCTCTATGAAACGGTCTGAGTCTATGCTTGGCCTCACTAATGTAGAGGAGGTCACATCGGGAGCAACGGATACAGTAGACCAAGATGATGGATGTGCAGGTGAACCCCTGTCTGATATGAAAGATTTGTTTTGGGCCTTGAATGGAGGTAAGGTTGAGGTGTAGGGGCAGATGTAGCATTTCCTGCGGTTGCAGGGAAAGGTGCCAGGTGTAGTGGGGTTAGTGGGGAGTCGTGGAGAGAGCAGTCCCTACCGAAGGCAGATGGGATGGGGAGGGAAATATTTCTTTGGTTGTGGGGTTGGATTATAAGTGGCAGAAGTGGTGGAGAATGATAGGCTGGATGTGGAGATTTGCCTTCCAGTCGCCAACCTTTTTAACTCCCCCTCCCACTCCCTGGTTGACATATCCATCTTGGGCCTCCTCCAGTGTCACAATGACACCACCTGCAAACTAGAGGAGCAACACCTCATATTCCGCCTTGAGAGCCTACAGACTGATGGCCTAAACATGGAATTCACCAATTCTAAAATCTTCCCCACACCTGGCCGCCTCCCATGTCCAACCCTCCCTCTCATCCCTGCCTCCTTGACCTGACCCAACCTGTCCATCTTCTCTCCCACCTCACTAACCAATCCCCACCACTCCCTACCTGCATTCACCTATCACCATCCCACCTACCTTCCCCAGCCCCACCCTTCCTCTCTCTCTTTATTTCCCAGCTCCCTTCCCCCTCCCCACTTCTGAAGAAGGGTCTTGACCCAAAACGTCAATTTTCTTGCTCCTCTGATGCTGCCTGGCCTGTTGTGTTCTTCCAGCTCCATACTGTGTTGTCTGACTCCAGCATCTGCAGTTCTTGCTATATCTTGAGTTTATGAATTATGCGTCTTTTTCAGGTAAGTCTTAAATTCCAAGTCCATCTCTCAACTTGCATGTTTCCTGACACGTTCAATTTGATCATCTGTTTTGAAATAGCTACATTTTTAATCACCCCAAGTTTACCTAACTAGTGCCTCTCTTAGCAGAAGTATTCAGATATTATGGTATCAATGATCAGCAATGATGTTACTGTGGCACAATGTGAAACAGTAATTCTATTTAAGCTATAGGTAGCAAGCAGTATTCAATTGTGTGTTTAAATTAATCTAATACATAGAGATTCAAATTTATGCAACCTAATTTCAGTTTCTCATTCCAGGATCCCAATCAACTTGCCATTGGATATCGTAATTTATCATATGATGAGCTGATCTATGAACTTGTGAAGCAAAAAGAACTTGTTAAGAGAAAGGATGGTCAAATCAGAGAGCTTGAGGACTACATTGATAACCTCCTAGTGCGAGTAATGGAGGAAACTCCCAGCATTCTTAGAGTGCCATACGAACCATCTAGAAAAGCTGGGAAACTTTCAAAAAACAATTGACCTAATTAACATCAGAATTGACAAAATATACTTAATGCCTGTGACAAAATGCAATGGCAACTCTCATGACCTTTTATAGACCGTGAATTGGCAAAGAAGTTTACAGAATGGTATTTGCTCATTCCATAGCGGCTATTAAATAATGGTTGCCAAGCAAAGTAGAAACGATATTTCTTCTTTTCTCTCTCTCAACAATGAACAAATTAAAATTTCAGTTTGTTTTAAACAAAATGTAATTCATATCTTGTATAGATTAGCACATACAGTGACCTCACTAGTAGGTTGACCTGAGGAATCCCTCCTGAATGACACTCACCTGTTGACATTGCTTACTGTATTTATTTTTATATTATCTTTCTGGATAGTATGTAGCAACAATAGAATGAAATAGCAACTCTAAAGTAAATATAGCTTTGCAGTAGTTTTTCATCTAATTAGTTCTGGTACTGTTGCATACCTTTTGGGAAGGGTCCAATATTTATTTGGGGAGTTTTCACAGTAAACTTGGTGTTGCAATTTCTATTATATGCTGGAAGCCATTAATACACTTGAATATATGGAAACAAAATATCAGTATACTCTGTGATGCCAAAATTGATCACCTTATACTTGCCTATAACTTGATTATCTGTTGTATTTGTGTACTTTGGGGAAAGGTCTGACATATTTTAATGAGGAGATGTTCACACAATAAATTTAGTGTTGTGCTTTCTATAATATTGCAGCAGGCATTCATACACTTTAGTTGAATACATTTGAATGCAATGTCTCTAATGTTCTGCGATGCCAAAACCAATCACTTAATTCTTGCCTATTACTTGATTGCCTTTTATATTTCGATCTTCCAGTACTTCCAAAACACTGGACTCTTTATTCTTGAGAGCTCAGTCAACAACTGTATTACCACAAAATGTTTGATTTAATTACAATTACAATACACTAGAAAAATGATGTTTCCCATTCTCATTTTATCTGTATTTCTTGAGGAAAGGGTGGGAAATTTTAGGCAGAAATCAAATGGACAACTTTTTAATGGAACAAACTGATTGGAACACTTATTTACATACGTAAAAATGTTAGTTATGTCATGTGAGACAGCAGTTTTACTGGCATTTTTGCATTTAAGAGAAGTTGGGTAAATGTTGTTTCACCTGTGGCACCATAACTTAAAAATTAGAAACTCAGAATGTGTGACCACACCTTACTCCCTACCCAAATCACACCTGTTTCATACCGAATTGGGTTCAGTGTAGTATAACTCAAACCTGAGATATTTTGTATTTTTTTTGAAATGTGCTGAGATTTCATAGGGAGAACCAGCTTCAGTGGTGAATTCTTCATACAGTCTTAAAACAAACTGTCAAATTCTGTGTCAATTTTAAAAAGCAACTGATCTGAAGAATGATAGTTCTTTCAAATTTTATATTAAGTTATATACATTTTTGTAAAGACATTTTTTGGTAGTTGTTCAGAATAAAAGTTGTGCATTTTATGCCAAACTATACCTAAAGTTTCTTGTGCATTTTAAATAGAATCATAACAATGTTACTGACTAGCCTTCAAGCAACAGTTGATCATTGTATTCATTGAGTCATAATCCAAACATATTTATCTTTACACTCAGTTGACTGTCTCATTTGAAATTTATACGTAACACATTATCTAATGCTACATTTTAATAGACACAATCCGTGGTTGGGACTTAACTGTCACTTACCCCTCTGAGCATCTTAAAGTACAGCATACTGCAGATAGCCGTTTCTTGTGTTTGTCCAGAATCACTTGTAAACTGTATTGAAATCAAAGTTTAAGCTAATGGTGAAACCAATCTTAGTCATTCAAAGTTCACTTCATGGCTGCAATAAAACAAAACAGACCTCAACCGATTGCTGGGTAAAGCTGCTTGACTTGAAGCCTTGACACACACATTTTAAAATATTTAAATGGCTTAAGTGCCCATAGAGTCTATTTAAATACTGTATGCCAGTACTGCTTTTGCACATCTGAAAATTAAAATTGTAACAAAACGTTTAAGTTACTTAATTTTATGCTTTTGGTGTTCTTTTAATGTTTCACATTAAAAATGCCGGCTTTTTGTAAATGTATTATTTATTTATTTTTTTCCCCAGACTTGAAGGTACTTGCTGTATAACTTTGAACTATTTAGAGATATAAACTCAACCAAATTCTTAATGCACAGACCTTTTTTTGTATTGGCTGAAAAAATAAATGTACTGAACCTTTGAAGTACGGTTCTGTAGCTGTAATTAACTGGTACAAACAGTCATCCATGCTGATTTAGGATGCACTTTTAAGAAGAATAATGCTTGAGTTCAGCTCCAAAGATCCTTCCCTTTTGGAAGTTCATGTAATTGATGTGTTATTCCTAGAATGATGCCAATAATTATATTATCCTTGAGACAAGATCATGTTATGAAGTTGTAAATTTTTTTTACAGTGAATATCCATAAGCCTATTGCAAGAAGCCCTGATGGTTGCATAAACTCCTTACCAGTTTACTGCTAAATCTGCATACCATTTGTAAAGGATATTTATTGAGATTTAATGTGACTTGGAGGTTTTTGGTAAGATATTCTCTATATTGCATATATTCTTCACACATTGTCTAAACCCTGTTGCTTAGGTACCGTAATTGCATCTTGAAACAGTTTGGCTTCATTGGTTAGTTGTTGTGGAAGACTTTTAAAGAAAGCAAAAAACTTCTTTATTTACACATTTTTATCTGTAATAGAAGCTAGGGTGCAGATTGGGAATAATAATCTACAATTTATCTACCCGAGTTAATGTCTCTGTAACTGAAGTTATTGGTTGAGTTAAGAACTCAACACTTACATGCAATAAATAACCCAGTCATATTTGTCAGATTGGACAAAACTGATGAAAGTAAAGTGTTTTGGTCCACATTACATAAAGGATATGTCAACTCTATTTACAGTCAGTACAAGAAGTGCACCAATGAAAACAATGGGTACCAATGCTTTTCCTTCTGTGGATTAAAAAGAACTAATTAAAATTTGAACTTTCCCAGTAATACGGCTACGTGTTTCACTTGGTTTGTATATCCCTGCAATTATTACTTTCCTTATGATCTATTGTGTTCTATGAAATTTCTTTCGAGTGCACTCAGTTACATATTGTGGCACACAGGTACATTTGCAATGCTCGTGCATATTTTTTCAATTAATTATTTATCTTTTTCATGAATCTGAGATTTTTAAATGTTTTCATCAAGAATAATTGTAAATAGCTGAAAGTAGTTTAATGCTGCCTTCTAAATTTATTAGATGTTTAGAAATCAATCTAATGAATGTACCATCACCCTGGAAAAGTATCGTAAACTGGTACTTAAATGATATGGACATCCATAGAATCAGAGGATTTTATAGTACAGAAGGAAGCCATTCATCCTGTCATGTCTGTACTAGCTCCTGAAAGAGCTACCCTGTTAATCCCACTCTCCAGCCCTCTTATTTCATCAGCAGTTTTATTTAAATAAGCTGAGGTGCTATACTAAAGCATTTTGAACAAATATGGTAACTGATTTCTGTAGTAATATTTGAACATTTTGAATACAAAACCAATGTAATATTCATACATGTGAAGCAAAGTTTTATGGAAGACTATATAGTGTTTTTTTTTTAAATGCACCTTGGCAAGATCTGCTAAAGATATTTGATTTTTTAAAATGAGTGCGTAAGATTTCACGTGGTATATATTATGCAAAGTTATGACATTTTAAACGTGAAAACATTGCTGGTCATTCATTGTAGTTCACCATGTATATGTGGCAAATTCAAAAATAGTCAACTACAAATAAAAATAAAGCATGCAGACATCATCTATGTTCTGTATTAAATGGATATTCCATATTTGTCTGGTATTATAAATAAGCTAAGAAAAATGGCTGCATGTAGCTTTGGGTATGTATTTTATTATGAAAGAATGTTAATATAAATGGTTCTCTGTAAATTGATTGCATGTTTAGAAATGACATTGGATTGAAAGGAAAGTACCAGCGGTATTAATCTGCTAATGACTTAATGAGCAAGTTCAGTATAATTATGTTTGCACTGTAATTAAGTCGTGACAAAGCACATCTTTCATTACACGTATTAAACTTAAATGCACTCTGCATTTGTAGCTATGCTCGAAATATTGCTAAGAACCATATGCTGCATGTTTCAGATATTTAATAAAGTGTATTAAATATATTATGGAATGTTGTCCCTATTTTACCAGGGTACTGAAAAAATTTTCACTTTAGATGTTGATTGTTTGATCTGGTCATGCATGCTAATATTCCATCATGATATTTTCATATTGTTAACATAAGATGAAGTACAACATTGGCAATTTTTGTATCTGGTATGATTTTTAGTTTGTTTTTACACTGCTACATAATCAAAATTGATACTTTTTTTGTATCAACACATCAAAATCAAACGAAAGGTCATTGATCTTAAATGTTAATTGCATTTCTGTTTCCACAGATGCTGCCTGACCACGTGAATATTTCTCATTGTTTTTATTTCAGATTTGCCATAACCATCGCATTTTGCTTATGTTTAAACTGATACTGTTTTGTCTCATCCTTAATGTAGAATTAGTTAAAAGTACCAGAAATAGAAATAAATTGTCCTTTGTCTAAAATTTAATGTGAAGTGCAATTATCTGGAAATTCATATATTTTGGTTACTTTCAAGCTAAATCTAAATTATAATGAGACGGTCACAATTGTTTTGGAAGATCAAGCCTGATAATGTAGAATCCCTACAGGGCAGGAGACCATTTGGCCCATCAGGTCAGCACCAACCATCCAAAGAGCATCCCAGACCCTGCCCCTACACTATCCCTATAACTCCACATTTACTGTGGCTAATCCATCTAGCCTGGACATTATGGGGCAATTAGGCAGGGCCAGTTAACCAAACCTGTACATCTTTGGACTGTGGGAGAAAGTGTGGACCTAAAGGAAACCTACACAAATACAGGGAGACTGTGTGAACACCGATAACCACCACTGATAACCTGCTGAGCCACTGTGGCAGAAATACATAAAGATTCATTCCCTGACCAGGAACGGAACCTCACGAGAGAAAGTGCCCAATCCTAACCACGACTCGCACCAAAGGTGTAGACTGGGTATATAGACTTCAACACTAAGTGATATTGATAATCAAAACCATGCAGCTACTAGACCCTCTTGAAGTTTCCTAGTATTGTTGTAAATATCACTTTCAGCAGTTCCGGTTGCTGTGTAGAGTATTTGGATTGAAGAGAATTTCTAAATCTGCAAGAATAATTGGAATTATCAAAATATTTTTCATGTTGCAACTTACTAATTTAAAGGATCCAACTAGTTGACGAAGATAGTTTCATTAAATTTGCTGTTTTATTATTAGAAATAGCTACGTTTGGATTTTTAAATACGTTCACGTTGGCTGCATACTCTATATAAATGCAGGTTTTTTGCATTAGTGCCTTTCACATCGTGAAACTCTTTGGGGTCATTTTACTGTGTATTATCAAATAAAATATCCAGCCACCTGCGGAGATATTTGGATAGATGATGTAGGTTTTAAGAGTATCTATCATATTCTACCCGACCAGTCACAACTCTAGATGTTCGGAGAAAGTACTAAGGCTTAGGTTTTCCGGATATTTCGCAAGCTGATTTTTTGTTATTTTATCCAAAATAAACTTTATCCAATTGCATTTTGACTTCGTGCAGACCAACATAAATCTGTATTGCATTGTATCACTTACCAAGTCCTTCCTCCGCATTTCAAAACAACTTCTTATCAGCTAGATGAATCGCTAGTCATGAAACTGTTGTGAGCTATCAATGTAAAAGCCCTTGCTAACTCTTTAAAAAGTTGTAAACCACAAGCGGTCTAAACAGAATTAAGATACAGTAAACAGGCGCGAAGTGCCAAAGGCCGCTTATTACTAAGATAGCATTCATTCCTAAAGGAAGGGAAAGGAAACTTTCATTCGACCATCAGTTGCCGCTTCGAGGTTGTCAAATATGCATTAAATCAAAAATAAATTCTTGAAGTTGGCTATCGATGGACGTGTTCATAAATTACCAGGATACAGATAAAAAATCAACTTTAATTTTTGACCTTTTGAGGATCTTATTAGTAATGAGCAGTTAATCATGTTGACTGGCTTCCCGAGAGTAGGGGAAGGTATTGTATGAACTTCTACATCCAGCCTGGAATTGGCTGGTTAGGAAACCTTTGATTAACCGCACTTTGGTGCGAGTTGCAAGTTTAAATGGGTCATTAAGCCTCTGAGGACTGACTGATTCTCCTGGTCAACTATTGGTAATACAGTGATTACAAACCTGTATCTTTGTTATTAAGTATCATTTTTTTCGTGACCTTGGTAGAGCTGGCGTAATGCTGAACTTCAGATACCGATTTCAAGACTTCTTTGTGTAGGCGGATATCACAGGCAGGTCAGAGATATCTATAAAACAAAATTACCACCATAGCAGGGCACCTTACTCTTAGATCTGCTGCTGGTTGCTTTTTAATTGCATTTCATTTGGTCACGTATAATTTCGGTTACTGAATTCTTTAAAAACTTCTTGCTATTGAAGTTTTTCTCTCACCTGCAATAATAGGTGTCACTGATTCTGCATCCAGGCGGCTTCTGGCCGCAGAGAACTGGCTGGCTGAGTGTTATATAGCCGTTTATGAATAGGAAAATGTTTAATAAATTAGTGATAATCCCTCGCCTATGGATATTCTTGCATCCTTTATCCATTTGCCTACTGGCAGAACATATGGTTTCATGGAGTTCAATTTTTTTTTAAAAAAAAGCTACATGTAATTTGTAACATCAGCATCAAAGTGGTGTGGTTGAAAGAAAAGTGCGGTAATTTGATCCCGGTGCTAACAAAGCGGGTCCTCACACAGTAGCACCTGAAATTTCTTTAAACACGCGCTTGTTTACATGTCGGGTGGCGAACGCGTGTCACTTAGACAGAAGCGGCCAGGTTGCAGTGAAATGATATTGGGCTAATCCGCGGTTAATAAAAGCAGATCGATGTCCGTCGACTGTTGCCGCTTGTTGGTGGCGATCATTTGAAACGTTTTGAAGGAGAAATTTGGCAGATGGACTAAAGGTGTTCCGTGTCGGAAAGCGAGCAGAAGCAGATGCTGAGGAGCCCCGAGTAACAGCCAGCTGCCACTTCCATTCGACTCCTCATGGCGGAGGCGACTTCCCACACCGCACCCCCCCACAAATCTTTTTTTAAAATTAAAAAGTAAACTAATCTTGATTGCACTGAAGTTGAAAATGTTGAAAGAAATCAGATGTCAGACGTGGCACGCGTGAGGCACAAGTCCTCCCTGTTTCCACCCCCCACATTGTCTCTGCTCTCACCTGACACGCGTCTGAAAAGATACAAAGAGGCAGATGACACCGACACAAGACAGGCGAGAAGCCTTGGCTCACCAAATGTTTGCTGTAGAGATCACCCACGCCAGTTGTGTCCTTCATTGAAAATACAATTCAGTTCCAGCTCCATGGAGCCTCTTTCGCGAGCACCAAGTTTCCCAGCCCCGCTGTACGCCGCAACATGTTCTGAAGAAAGGTTCACTCAATACAACACTAATACTGTTTTCTCTCTCCACAGATCCTGCTGTGTATCTCCAGTCCTTTGTGTGTTTTTGTTTCTTTCAACATCATCGTACATTTTTTTAACGTAGTACAGCAGGGCTGGGGGTTACAGAACCTCAAAAAGAAATGTTTCCTGGGTCAAAATTGGCCTACATGTAGGTACTGGTTCTGATAGATGGTCCCTGACCTGAGACATTTTCCGCAGATGCTACTCGATCC